ATGACTATTGATCAATAATTTTACATTGAAAGCAGAGTTTACTCATTCAAACTCATAAAAGTTTTCAAACTTACCTTACATTCATCACAAATTATTTATCAATAGTCATTCATTTTTATTCATCGATTGATCATTTTGTATATTATAAATACAAATAATGTTTTGTATCTATAGTTTGAAACATTGTGTGAAAATGGGTTTATATCTGAAGTTAACTAGAGATGAATTGCTTGAAGAGGAAATGAAAGGACGACTTATTGAGACAAATATTGAATTATTACTAAACACTGGGAAACAAAACCCCAATAATGGGATGAAACTCAACGATTTCTTAAGAGGTGTTTATCTAGTATTGCTTTTTGGGTATGTAATTTCAGTGATTTGTTTTGTGCGTCAATGTTATAATAAATTACTTGAATTTCACTTATACTAATAGTCTTACCAGATTCATTTGAAAATAATGCAATACTAAATAATTTTGTTGTTATTATGAGTATTGTCAAATATCTTATCCATTTCAAGTATGTATTAAACTATTGTTAAACGAACTTAAGTAAACTAATGTTTAGCGTGTTAAAATTGTACCTTTCAATAGTAGCATAATATATTATTATCACGGTATTTTGTGATCACAGTAGAATTTATGATAAAATATGTATTTAATCCACAACAATTGCGGTAGCATTAAACTAAAATTGAAATAGGTAAAATTATCACAATTAATATCTATTTGATGTGAACGAAATTTTTTTAATAAATAGCAAGGGTATCCTTGTTTTAGCAGATCATAGTTTTTTACTGCAAAAAACATAGAAATTGTAATAACGATACAAATTATTATTAATTATTTTGAAGGTTTAAACAAATTTATACTTGTCGTATTTTGTACCCAATATGAAAACAACATTCATTTATGTGCTCGTATTTGCATCTGTGGTTTATGGCAAACATTCCGATTCAGTGGACAAACGAGGTATGCTCATTTTATAGCTAACATTTTAAAATATTTGTAGCGACATCAATTTTAATTACATATTTTTTAAACTTAAGCAACTAATTAAATTCGATAGTTAAACTCCAACCCTCCAAGCGTTTAAAATTGAAAACATTCTCTAGGATAATTTTTTAATAAGGTTATGTAACTAATCTAATTGGTTAGAAAACTTAAATACAATGCTTTAAAACTAATTATAGTAAATAAAAATCTAATACCAGAATAAATTAATTCTCAACAATAAAATGTAAGGTATAAATATTAGGTAGCATAACTCTGATATATAATATGTTAATAATTTTTTAATTTTTTAATAACGTACCTACAGTAAATTCCGGTCAAAATGGCGTTAATAGTTGGTGCCAGGACCATTCCGATTGCACCAGTAGCAACATGATGTGCTACAATCAACAGTGCATATGTAAGCCCAACTACCAGGAAAGTGGGTCGTCCGGGTGTAACGGCCCCCTTAACTGTACCCTGGGTCAGATCAACTGCGGCTCATGGGATGGCTGGGTGTGCGACCAACAGGCGGGTCGGTGTGTATGCAATGAGGAGACCCATTCGGAAAAGGTGGGCACTGGGATATGTGTGCCCAACGAAGGCGATATTACATGCGTTAATGGCCAGGGATGCCAAGGCGGCCGGGTATGCGTGCAGAATAGATGCCGGTGCCCACCGAACACCTACCCCACCTACACGGGCGACGCTAAAAATCCCACGTGTCAACAGTACTCGTGCGGTCAGGATCGTGGGTGTGCCCATACCTGGGACACCCACCGTATCTGTCAGGGCGGTAGGTGTATATGCGACGACCCCAAGTACAGGGAGACTAACACTAGCCTTGGTCAAATTTGCGCCATTGGTGTGGAACCTGCGTGCGGTCGGGATGTTAAATGTACGGACCCTAACGAGGTGTGCGTGGACTGGACCGACAATAATAATAACGGGAAGTGCCAGTGCAAGGCCAATTACTATTATGAGGATGGTAGGTGCCAGGCGTTTAGATGCCAGGAGCAGCCCCAACAAGGGGATGATTGGGTGGACCAGAGGTATAAGTGTGACACATGGGATGAGAACAGGGAGTGCCGGCAATCCAGATGCGAGTGTAAGCCAGGTTACAATGATGGTGGTGTATCAGGTGGCAAATGTGTGCGAGATGTGCATAAAGAATGTCCACATTTAACTATCGATGTTAATATGAAAATAGAGGTAACTGTGAACAAGGTGCCTAACTGATTGAAGTTTCTAAATGTTCAGTATATTTGCAGTTAATTATTAATTAAACAATTAAAATTTAATGATTACTGTAAAATTGTTTTATAGTTTTAAATTGTTAAATAATTGTAATAATATTAAACTATAATCTAATAAAGAGTTTACAAAACATACAGAGTAACTACATATTTTAATTAGTGATTCATTAAAAACAATGTTAAATATATAAACATTATTGTTTTAATAATTTTTGAAATATAAATTAAATATTAATAACTATTTAAGAAATATATTGAAACTTTAAATATTATTTATATTCCCTTATTGTATTTTTAAAATATAAATTAAAAACATAGATTAAAAAATTAAAACCATAAGAACTAATAACCATGTTTATAACTATCCAATAATTTATTATAAATATTAACTTAAATAGATTATTATATAAATAAAATAAATTTTCAAAGCATTTTTCAGAGAATCATCTCATATTGGTTTATCAGATAAGCTTTGGTATATAGCATTGGAATGTAGTACATAGTATGGGTACATACTATGTACCCTTATTAATTATTTCATAATAATTTTAGTAATAATGAACTTTATCTCAATGTCACTCAAAATCAGATAAATTAATTTTATGAGTTTCCTTTTGATGGTTTGACAAAAGAAATGGCAAATATCTATTATGCCAAGTGTATGTCTATTAGTGATTATGTATATTATGTCAGTGAGTATGATAATAAGGGTTAATTTTAATCAACAAATTTATGGTACATGGTGACACTATTCTCATACAAGATAACTTATAATTGTTTGTAATAAATGTAAAACTGCATTTAAATAATTATTTTCTTGGTCTATCGACCTAATACCAAATTTTCCAAACGACTACAAGACTAAAAATATACATTGATTAAAACATATATAACTTACTTACCAAATAACATTTTAACTAAATGACCACTTCATTAAACGTAACAATTAACATAACAAATATTAATTAAATACAGGCTTAAAATCCACTGGTAGTATAAGTTTAGGTCAATAGGTATTAGATGAATTAGCCATTTAGATTATTGGTTTTAGGTCACTTTTTCGATACAACGTAAACATCATCTATCATGTCCTGACATTTGTCGCAAATGTAAAGGATAACACAAGTTTATGTCAAACCCTTTAAACAATACGCACCCTTTTTAAGTTCATTTTTTTATTAATTTACAACATTAAATAAATCCCTTAATTGATTGCAAAAATATTATGTAACCAAATGCCAACATTTGTATTGTATATAAATGGTGTGATAATTTTATAAATTCTTATAAAACTTAGTAGGGTAATATTGTGAAAGTGTAATTTAATTTTGTTTGGTTAGCAAGTGGTTAAAATAATTTTTGTATAAAATATGAGCATCAAATTGTTAGCTGTGTACTTTTTATGTATGATAACAGTCTGTTCGGGTGGTTACCTATGGCAATATGACACAACTGCAGACTGTACGGCAGGCCTACTTTGTATAGGGGACAGATGCGATTGCCTACCCGACTACTATTATAATGAAAACTCTGACACGTGTATAAAATTTAATTGTACCTTGGACAGCAAATGTCACACTTATCGAATCTGCGACAAACACCTTGGTAAATGCGTATGCGATGAACGGGAGCGTTTAGAGAATCCTGATACAAATGGTTATTGCAATATTGTTGGAAAGGTAGCATGCAAAAATGATCAAGAATGCATCACTAATGATCCTAATCAGTTATGAGTGGACGGTAGCTGCGTTTGCAAGCCAGACTATTATAAACCACCTAGTAGCGATTTCAAAAATGCTAAATGTGTTAAGTATACATGCGATTGGATTCAACAATCATGCTTCAATATGTGAGATCACCGCGTATGTTATCAGGGTAATTGTATTTGTAATGGAAAAGATTATCGAGTAAATGAAACTAATGGCTTGAAGTGTACGTATGATTTTGAACCGGCATGTGGGGCCGGTAGTAAATGTGGCAATAATGAGGTGTGTGTGGACGACAAGTGCCGGTGCGCTCCCGACTACGAGTGGAGTAACGAACAGAATAAGTGTATACTCTTTGACTGTAAAGCCGATGGGAAGTCGTGTTCGGACAGGGATTCGAACCGAATGTGTGGTCCAGAGGGTCGGTGTGTCTGTCGTTATNTGCCGGTGCGCTCCCGACTACGAGTGGAGTAACGAACAGAATAAGTGTATACTCTTTGACTGTAAAGCCGATGGGAAGTCGTGTTCGGACAGGGATTCGAACCGAATGTGTGGTCCAGAGGGTCGGTGTGTCTGTCGTTATGAGTATAAAGAGGACGAAAATAATGGCAGAAAGTGCGTAAAGGGTCTGGGTGTCTCCGTAAATAGTAGCAATATGATTGTTAATTTCATAATTGTTATTATAGCAAGCAGAATTTATAATTTGTTTTCTGAAAAGTTTTAATAAAATTATAATGATATTCAAATATAAATCTATGAATAAATTACTTTTAATAAATAATCTTTTTAATTATTAGTAATTATTAATCCCTGCTCATACATGTGTATTACCCTAATATTTTATTTTAATTATTCAAATAATTTTTATTAAATATGAGAAAAATAATTTACGATTTAGAAAATTTTATTAATTTAATTTTATTTATTAACAAAGGTCATGGTTGTATTCTATAAGTATATACAGTAGTATAAAAACTAATGCAATTAATAATTTAGAATATACAACTTTTTAGGTTACACCTATAATAATGATATTTTGGTGTTTATATTGTTTTATTAGTTTATTTATTATTATATTAAAGTGTTTATTAAATTGGGCGGTTTCCACTTTTAGTACAATACCAGGTATAGTTTAGTTGGTTTATATTGATTTAAGTTTATTATATAATATTATCCAGATATAATGCATGTATTAGTTCTAAAAATATTTAAATAATTTATAATTCATTTTAAGTCATTTATATTTAATTCAGTTTTTACGTAGAAATATATAGTTGATAATAAAAAAATTAGATTATTAATTAGATAGTAATTAACTTATTTATTGTGTACAAAATATGAAAAGAACTTATTTTATTGTTAATGTGATTAAATGTTATATTATTTTAAACTATCATATTAATGTTTTACTATAAATATTATATATTAACGATACACAAACATGTCAAATGAGTTATATAAAAGGTATCAAGAATTACACAATTTTTTAAATAATTTTTATTCTCGACTTCCCATACAATCAAAGCAATACTATCAGTGCACACAAAATATCAGTGCAAACCTAATCATATATTATAAAATTAATAAAAAACATGTAAGAAAATATTTTCTAAAATTCAATCTTATAAATGTTAAACTAATTTTTAATCAATTGTTTTTATTATCTAGTTCACTATATTTAGTTTTGTTAAATCATTCAGTCAATATTTAATGTGTGAATTGAAACTCAAAATTGTATTTCGATATTATGGTGTAAAGGTTCAATACGGGGTATGTACATTTAATACTAATTTAAATAATATCGTGTACATAAATTTATATACCTATTATTTCAATAATTAATACAGCACCCTGGCCTAGTGTTGACTGGTATTTCTGGAAATAATGATGATATAAATTGTTCACATAATGTTCAAATTGATTCAGCATATTTATCTGAGTTACTGACCACACGATCACTAATTGAAGATAATTCTTACTTTCCATTCATCTATTTGTTTGATTACTGGGTAAATGTTTTAAAATATAAATATAATTTACGAAACTAATAATCCATTAAAATTACAAATAGATATGGATTTTAATAATCATATTCTCGATACTGAACTCAATTCTGTGGAAATACTTGAGTGATTCGAGTGGTGGTGGAGTTTTCGATGGCCTACGATATATGGTACGGATACTGACGGGACAGTCAACCAAAATATTTACTACATTAGAGACCGAGTGGACAGCTATGAAAGGCAGCTCCAGATCAATTGATAACATGAAATATACCATTCATTTAGTTGTAATTATTATTTGGATGCTAAGCTCGACAGTACTGTCAAAGTGTTTCTCAAGCGTTATGTTAAACACATATTTTAAAGTAAAAACCAAAGCATTTATTAATTCATTTGACGAGTTGGTTGAGCACCCGGAGGTTGGTTTTTATGGTATATTACCCACGAGATTTAGAAATTATGACCCAAAAATGGCTGAAATATTGGACGAAAGGCATAATAAATATGAGGCATATATTATAAAAGAAGCAAAACGTCTGAATAAAACAAACACTCTTTTACTTATACTAAGAGATGTGTTACAAAGAAAAGCTGTTTATCTCACGAATTCATACAAAGAAAAGATAATTAAAGCACAAAATCCATCCCTGAATCTGGTTGTGGCCGATGATAGGCGAGGGTATAGTTACATCGCATATACTGTCCCTAAAATACACAGATTTGGCACAAGAATTGCCAAAAGGTAAGCCATTTAGATAATAATATTTTTTTAAATCAGAGAGGCCTTAGCTAGTTTTATTTCTTATTAATAATTTGATTTAAAAGTCAATTATTCATACAATATTCATAGGTTTTTATTTCAAAATATATTTTGAGTCAAATTATTAATTATATAATGTGGTAATGAATGAAATTCTCATAAATTTTATAATTTTGATAAATAATATAAATGGATTTATAATATACAAAAAGATCAATCGATGAATAAAAATGAATGACTATTGATCAATAATTTTACATTGAAAGCAGAGTTTACTCATTCAAACTAATAAAACTTTTCAAACTTAGCTTACATTCATCACAAATTATTTATCAATAGTCATTCATTTTTATTCATCGATTGATCGTTTTGTATATTATAATCTCATATTTAATTTATATTCATTTATATCTTAAAAATTTTACTATTTAAAAGTTAATTATGCACTTAATTAACACCAAATTTCTAAAATTATTTGTTTAAATACGATTGTTCAAATAAATAAAATTGATTTATATAAATATAAGTAAAAACACGGGTTTTAAAATAATTAAATTAATAAATAAAATATATTTTCTAAATGGCATTAAAAGGTGATATAAACCCTAACTTATGCGATGCCAATGCTTAGCAATTGTCCGTATAATCGTTATATCAGTCATTGTACGGATGTGTACTATAAGGTTAGGTAAAGTTATTGTTAATTTAAGAGGTGATAATCAATATAATATAATTACAAAGTTGATAAAAATGATAAAAGTATTAATTTAATAATAATAAATAATTATATTTTACGATTTAATCGTTTTGATATTAATATATAATTATAGCTTTAAATTAACTAGTCATTTAAAACATTTGATAAAATAAAAATTGAATTTTAATAAAAAAAATATAATTAATTATATGCTATTAAATATATTTGGAAAATGTTAAAATATAATATATTATATTATATTATATTCCTTTAATAGAGGCATTGAAACTTTAACTTGAAATTAATGGATAGTATAATGTACAAAAGTAAATTTAGCTCATAGCTGATTTAATAAATGCAAAGATATTATAAAAGTATTTATAATTTCAGTGTATACTGGCACTTAGTTAAAGTTCAAGGTCTTTAATTATGCTGCAAAATTTAATATTAAATATTTTATTTATAAATATGAAAATACAGTATTATCCTAAACAATAATATTATTAT